TTATTCAGCCAGTCCTTACAGGTCTCCACCATCTTCTGCAGGATGTTCTTGATATTCTTGTTAGCAGCCTCAACAACTCCGTTGGTCTGTGGTCTATATGTCAATGACTTGTGAAAAAGCCACGTTATATTGTGAGCCATTATCTGATATGATCTCGTTCGGAACTCCATACCGGTAGATGATATTGTTTCTGATAAACTTGGCTACATGCGATACTTTCAACACAGCAAAAGACTGAGCTTCCACCCACATCATGAAATAGTCTAGCGCCACCAAAATGAACTCATGTCCATTTGAGCCCTTTGGCGAGACTACCCCAATTACATCGATTCCCCAGACTAAGAAAGGCCATGGCGAAGTCATGTTGTAAAGCTTTGACGGTGGTATGTTCATGCAATTGGCATGGATCTGACATTTGTGGCATCGCCGTACAAAACCAATACAATCCTCCTCCATAGTTGAACAATAGTAGCCTTGTCTGAGGATCTTCCGGGCCAACATCACACCATTCATGTACGCTCCACATTCTCCTCCGTAGATAGCCTCTATGAGCCGCTTCGATTCCTCTTCCTCCACACACAGCTTTTGCATTCCCGGATAACCTCTTTTATACAGCTTGTTTCCATAGATGATAAATTGGACAACCAGACGCCGTATTCCCCGTTTATCTTTAGCATTTGCCTTCATAAGGCTACTCTTAAATTAAAACCACGAGGCTACTCTATAACTCCTCTTCTACACAATAGCCTTTAGACCCTTCTTCAATGGGTGATATGTCTGATCATGCACCATTGAGAGAGGGTATTTGTGGTTTGTTTTAAAGAAGGTGTTTTTGGGATTGCTCTATTTCTGTGTATTAAGAGAAAGAGAGTACGAACAAAACAAAGAAATTATATGAACACATATATATAAGATGAGAAGGAATGGAGGAAGTGGATATTTGAAGGGCAAGTATTTCTAGGATTGCTCTGTTTATTCTTCAATGAATATATGTCGCAAAATATATGTATTGTTGAGAGAGAGAGAGAGAGAGAGAGAGAGAGAGAGAGAGGGGAGGTCTGATTTGCACGAATATTGTGCCACGTCATTGTTATAACTAATTAGATTTGAGCCATAGATTTGGTTATAGGTGACGTGACCAAATCCTGGCCGTTGACCGGAGGGAGGGTTGGAGATGATCTGGACTCAGCAACTGCTAACTACTAGGGTGTTTGAGAGAGAGAGAGAGAGAGGGGAGGTCTGATTTGCACGAATATTGTGCCACGTCATTGTAGGGGTTCAGGTAAGTTGTTTTTGTGTTGAAAGTTAAACTTCAAATTTCTTTATATCTACTCAAACGGAACATTAATAATATTGTATACATTATGTCACTTTATCAATTGAATAATATTATATATATATATATATATATATCAATTAGTATATTAATTAATATATTAATAGATGATGTGATATAATTTTAGAAATTTTGAATATTTATAATTTATATAATAAATAGGGTCAATAATAATAACATAACACTAATTGATATACTAGTATGTATATTAATTAGTGCATGTAACATCACTGTTATCAATTAGAGGCAATTAGATAAGAATGAGAAAAAAGAAAATAAAGTTGTGATTTCTCCCGTGGACATTGGCGGATGCAAGAGCATCGCCCCTGCATCCATCTATAAAACCTCAATTACCAGACGTGGATATGTCATTAATTTGTAAATGATAAAGAGTCGACTCCTCCACTCAAGTCTTAACTTTGTCAAATTATTTAAAGTATTGAGTTAAAGTCATGCTATAATACATAATATATATCATATATAATTTATTATTTGAATTAATATTACGAATTATTATATTGTTTGATTATAAACCATTATGGTGATGGAGCTAACAAATTATAAAATTAAAATTAATTTCATCTCATTCTAATATTTGATTATGTTTCAAAATAATATTTGATATGATTTATTGTGGTGATTTTGGTTATGTCCCAAAATGACACCTTCAATTATGGCTTTAATTAAAGTTACTTACGACCACAATCAATGTGAAAAGTACTTATATATTATTAGTTTTTTTATCTTATATTTTGTGTAACGTGTAACAAAAATTTATAATTTTGTTTTCGTACTTTTTGTTTTGTAAATGTCTATTGATTGAAAATATTATTTGCAAATTTAAAAATGATATTTAATTTGTATACTTATAAAAATAAATATTTTAGTACAACATATATGTGCAAAACTTTTATAATAATGTGATAAAATAAATTTTGTAATCAATTTTTGTTGTACATAGTTTGGCCCCCTCTTACCCAAATTTATGTGTCCGCCATTGTTCATATGAGAATCCAAATATAAAAATAAAATAAGATAATTAAATAATAATTATTTTACAAATCTTAAATATTTTACTTGTAAATCTTTAAGTACAAATTAAAATATTTGGAGGGTCTTTTAATTAATTTTAAACCTAAAATAAAATTATGGTGAAAGTTTTTAATTTAGAGACAAGATTTATTATTAAAAATAAATAAATAAAATAGAGAAGAGGGTGTGACTTGAACTCTATACCACAAAATTAATAAATAAGACTTTTACCATTTGAGTTGCATATAACTTATATATATATATATATTGTATATTTATCTATTTATTTGACCTGCACAAGCATTATGTGTACCCCCAACTAGTATAAAATAAAATAAACACAAACCCTACTCTCTTATTTGTTCACCACATATAGCAGCAGCAGCAGCCGCCACACTACCACAAGAGAGAGATTGAGAGAGAAGGGGAAAAAAAAGTTGCAATCAACGAAGAACTTTTGAGTGTGTGGTAAGTTTCTAACTTTTTTCTTTCTTTTATTTTTGTTCTTTATCCTTATTCTATTTTATGATTTAGTTCATTGATGGAAAGGTTGTACCTTTATGCATTTTGTATATATATACATTGTTAAGAAACTTGAGGAAATAAATTGTGTGTAATGAATGGGTGCGATTCTTAGTTTAAAAATTTTGTACAGAATCACAAACTTTAAAAATTGGAGAATCATATCAAACGGATGAATTTTAAACTGAAATTTTTACAGTAGATTAATTACATATTGAATTGCATATCATAATTTTCTCATAATTTTTTAGAGTCAAAATCTATTAACTAGTGTGTTCAAATCTATCCAGAAAACTGGTTTAAAACAGTAATTTCAAAAGTGTGTTCTCTTTGGGCATGAATCTGAAAATTTTCAAATCAGCATCATTAGAACCAGTTATGAATCTAGTTTCTAAAATTTTTGGCCTTGCGTTGATTGCTCTTGTATACTAAGAGAACCATTAATTTCTTTAAAGTGCTGCAGAAAGTGACCTATTTGAAAATAATTAATTGTAAATAATTATTTTGATAAGCAAATCAAATGAAACCAATTGGGTTTGAAGCTTAGAATATATTAGTTGCTATCTAGAGGGTTTTGGAATTTTTTGAATAGTGTGGAGTGGGTATTTAATTTTCAAAGTTAGCAAATGGATTGCGAAAACTTGTTTAAAATTCTGTTTTATCTCAAAGTCACATTTAATTAAGTTTCGATCTAAATCCATGTCATAGTTAATTTGAGACCTTGAAGAACATGAACTTAGGTATTATTTAAGAATAACGATGAGTGGGGTTGAACTATGTTAGTGCACTTTAGTTTGGGGTTACTTAGTTTATTATTCCTTTTAGTATGTTTGAATTAGTAGTGACATGTAATTTTAATACTTTGTTCAGGACACTAGTTGGACTTTCATACTTTATTCGAGGATTATATTGTACCGTGTTCAGGTGAGTAGTTGCATGCTACATATTTTTATAAATATTTCCCTACCTTGAACTGTTGAAAAATTAAATTGTTATTTCAAGATTAAACTATTTTGATAAATTATTATATTATCAATGAAATTAATTTATTTCCGAAACATGTGTAAACTTGGTATACTGTAAACTATTTATTATGGTCTCATGTTTATAATGGTGAACTACCATGTTTTGCGAAATTGAATTGTATTGATTATCGGGACCATCTGTATATTTTAGTCCAAAGAAATTATTCCATTGTGTGTGATGACTCTGGCCACTAGGAAACAGATTCGGGTTGGGCCGTGATGACTCTAGTGCTCAACGATTGTAAGGAAAAGACCTAGGCTAGGCTAGGTGACCTTCAATCGGATCGTCTTAGAGAAAAGGCCCGGGTTGCCATCTCGAGGATGACCATTGGTTCGATATTGGATCTAAGGGGCTTATTGCCTTGAGAACTTTGTTGCATGTTACTTGTTATTCTTAGTACTCAGCAAATTATTGGTGTTCATGTTGTAATCTATTTTAAGTGAAAAATGTCATTTATCATATTCTTGAAAGACATGAGTATTTTAACTATCGAACTGTGAAACCTTCTTTTTGAAACAAATTATTTTAATCAAAAGTGTATGCCAATCAAGTTATGTGATATATCTTATTTTGGAATTGAACCATGTTTTCATAACTATATTTACTATCCATGTTGCTACTCACTGAGCTATCAAGTAACTTAGTTGTTTATCACTTTCAGGTATTATAAGGACTTAGAGTGGACTCATGACGTAGCGGGACTCAATTGCATGAACCTCTAAGACATTCATTATTTTGTTTTAGCTCGCTATGTCGATTTTGTTCATATATTGTAGTTGGATTTTATTTAAAATTATTTTATTTTATGGACGGTTTGTCTTACATTTAATATATATTTTTAAAAGTTGATTATAGCTGGTTTTACCATTTATACTTGTGACTTGTCACTTGTCACTGATTTTGGGTTTTGATTTATTTATTTATGAGCTATCGTCACATTTATTCTTTGTAACTTTGGGTTAATGTTTAGGCTTATGTGTGCCTTGGGCTAAATCCCTATGGGCCATAGCCGGTCATGCCTGGAGTTAGGGTGTAACAGCTCGTAGAGATAGAAAAGAAACAAAATTATTGTGTTTTCTCGCTATTTTGTTTTACAAATATCAATTCATTTCTTATTGATTGCGTTAATCCCCCTCGCCAAGATAAATATATAGGAATGTAATATGAGAGTTATACACTTCCATTTTGCATGCAAGGCTGCCTTACCAACATTTTTCCCAACCTTTTCTTTTCTGAAAAATGAAAATGTGAAAACCAAACCAAATGAACCAAGCACACCTTACAAACTTAAAATGAGACAAAGGGAGTAATTTCAAACACCGTATAGACCTGAAGTGGAACCGACTTATCAAGGTTCCAATCTCCATCCATGCTCAGAAAGTGCTTCAATCACCCAAAAAGATGCCTCTGTAGTGTCATTCAGTGGAGGATAGCTCCATCTTTCTGATATCTGCACAATCAAACCACAATATGATATTTTAATGGAGAGATTGATTTTGTTCAACATCAACCACCGCAGTACCAATGGCATAATTTGATTGTGCAGCAGTTATTATAATTGCATTACAAGATAAATAGAGAAAGACTTTAGACTTTGTATGGAACTCACATCTTCTTTACCCGTGAATGGTCGCACCACTCCTCGTTCCTGCAGAGATTTGTGGAACTCCACAAACTTCCATGTACATCGCCCTGCTCCAATAACATAAACAGGCTTTCTGCAGCATAAATTATTAACATTTCAATTGGGAGGAAAATCAAATTAAAAATGGTGAAGAAGTACCACTAGTTCAAACATACCCAGTACTGCAAGCCTCACTCAACATACTAACTGAATCAGCTGTGATTATGAAAGCATCGGCCCAAGCGAGATGCCCATGTGAGGAACATTCTTCAGGGATGCTGTCAACTGTTTTGCAAGGTCTGCACCATATTGACAATGTTCTACAATAACAACATAAATATGACATAAATTATGGGAAGTGTTGTTATTAACCAATGATACAGCATCAACAAGGAGAAGTGAATAAAAAGAATACTTATGATTTTTCTTTCGATAAAGAATAAACTATTGCAAGTATGAAATCATATTTGACTTAGAGAATGATAAGCACTAACACAGCAAACCAGTTTTAACTAAAATTGAAGCTTTTTGAGGCAAGCCATGAGTAAAGTCATCATAGAAGCAGATTTGCAATAGCGATGTTACAATATACTTTTTAAACACTAATGTAATTATGTACAAGCATGAGAGGGGATCCTATATGATAATGGCCTCGTTTGGGAAGTGACTCTTTTAGAGGCTTTTTGACTTTTTGACTATTTCAGTAGGCTATTTTAGTTTTTGTGTTTGGGAAGACGAGATGAATTTTTAGTTGAGTTGTTGTATTGAAAAGTGTGTTGAAATGATGTTTGAATGTAAAATGACAAATTTGTCTCTAAAATTATAATTTTTTAAATTGATGTAAAGGGGCAAAATGGTAATTTAGCCGTTGATGCAACAAGTTGAGGCTGTGACAGTGTAGGCACAGCCTACACTGTCCGACGTTGAGCCTTTTTTTTTTTTTTTTGAAAAAATTTGATTTGGAGGCTTTTTGGCTAATAACTCAAACGAGGCTATAATAGCCTCAACCACTGTTTCCCAAACAACGCCAATATAAGCAGTTTCAAGTTAAAAGGAACTACGTTGGATTTTCTAGTCATGCACCTTGCAAGATTTAACCTAAATAAATAAATAAAGGAGAATGAAAATTTTAGGATCTTTGAACATCAATTACTGCAATTCTATCTTTTTTTTCTTTTTTCAGGTTGTGCAAAGACCAGAGTAGTAACATACAAAAAAGATTTTGAATAATTCATAAAGGCACTCATATGTGGATATAAATATACTAATAAATTTAAATTATAAACTAATACATACAATAAAAAAGTGAACAGACCCTAAAGTTTGAACAATGTGATCCCAAAAACAAAACCCTATAGCTTGACCAATCTTACCATCTAAAAAAAGAAAAAGAAAACCTTGAACAATCTTAAATGCCAACTGCATCAGAGAAGTTAGTTCTATGCAACAAAACAGACTTAAGAGTTTGAACAACCTCATCCACTCTGAGTTACTTTTACACTCTTTTCTGTCGTCAGGACCACAAATTTCCATTAACAGGGCTAACTCAATATCAGAAGCAAACAAAAGTTGTGGAAGGAGGAAAAAAGGACACGGTATCAAAATTGAGATGCAAAATACACCTTGAATATTGTCTAGCTAAAACAAAGACTAATACCCACATTAGGCCAATCATACCCTATAAAAGGCTAAAACCCAAAACTCTCTTCCATCATTTGATGCAAACGTGAGAGGTATCAACTTAAAAAACCCTTACAAAACTGAATACCCAATGTGGGAAAACAATGGTGCTAGCGGGGAAATTTTATATATTATAAGGAAAACTTCACTGTAATCTCCCCCCCAACAAAACAAACTGAAAACCCAATGTGGGAAAACAATGGTGCTAAAGGGCCGTGTGCAGTTTACCCCCTAACGTTTAGAAATGACCACATAACCCCCATATGGTTTGTGGACCAAAGAGCACACTAACTTCTATTAACTGAACATGTGAATTGACCTTTATGCGCTTGTCTTCTTCCTCTTCTCTCTTTCGAATTAAACCTGCAATACACACACGCCTATTTTCTTTTTTTTTCCTTCTATGCTATCAACTCCAACAAATTTCATTGCAACTTCTGCAAGAAACCCAAGCGGCACACACATCTCCGCACCAAAAAAATCAGTGACCCATTCTCACCATTCATCAACAGTAAATACATATATATTATCCACTAGTATATACTTAGAAATTATTATGGCCCGCCAGGGGTGTCGGAGAAAGAGAGGATTTTGACCAAGCTGTTTCCGACGATGTTGGTGGCGCCAACGATCAACCCATGCTGTCATAGCTTCTTGGAGCATCGTAAAACTCCAGCCTCCAAAGAAAAATACAGCGGATTCAATCTTGATGTATATATATTTGTATGTATCAAGGATTTTTTCCAAAAGTACGAATTTTTTAAACCAAATTAGAGCATAAAAATTGGTCAACAGAACACCAGAAAAAGGAGAGCCTAAGCTAAGATAATAATTGTTAATGGAAAACCATAATAGAGCATGGTAAACAATTGATAAATACATTATTTGAATTGTATTTCCAGACCATTGTACAGAGGCATCAAGTTGGAGATCTCATGAAAGCTTCGCTGAAGCAAAAATTGAAGGGATTGGAAGAGCACTGTACAGTGATGACAAATGGAGAGAGAGGAGGAGAGGGATGATGAAGATAAGGTGGTACTGATGGCGGGAAAAGTGGTTGACCTGTGAATTGTTGAGTTGGGGGAAGAAGATGAAATAAAGAGCGAGGCTTTCTTTGGATTTTTTTGTATTTTTCATCTAAAAGTGGAGGGCACAAGTGGAAGTGGAAGAAATGATGAGAGGTAGAGGAATGGTAAGTTAGTAATTTTAGAGAGTTAATAGGGAAGAGGAAGTTGGTGTGGTACAATGGGTTGGAGTTAAGCAATAGAAAGAGAAATAATAGAGAGGAGGAAGAAGAACGGCATGTGTAGACATCCTATTTTGACTGACTCTAAGACTTCGGATGCTTGCAAGCCTCCCGATGATGAAATGGTACTTAACTTCATCTTTAGAATGAGTAAGGATGTCTAGAATTGCTATATAAACCCGTTTTGGCCAAAAATAGACCTTTTTACAAAAATGACTATATTGCCCCTAAACCCATTTTTAGCCAAAAAAAATTAATTTCTTAACCCTGAGAAAAAGAGGAAAGCCTGGTTTTCCTTTGATCAAACGTATTTTTCAAAATTATTAACTCATTTTATCAAAAAAATTAATCAGAAGGCACTACGGACTTACTTGGGCCACAAGCAAGCCAAGATCATGGAATGCATACAGGGATGACACGTGTACCATGGCAAAGGCTGCGTGCGCACTTGCCTCGTGCTTGCGCACAAGAATGGTGCATGTGCATATCCAAGCATCACAAAGTTATTTTTAAAAACTCAATCTTTGTGCATTTTTTAAGGGAGGCGGCAAAGGAAGCGATGGGGGTTGCCCTAGCTTGCTCTCCTCTCCCCCTCAAACCTATATAAGGAGCCCCTCCCCCTTCCTTTCAAGGGGGTTAAGAAATTTGAACTTTTGTGAGCTTTTGAGACCAAAACCACCCACTTTCTCGCCCCCTTTTCCTTAGCTTTGAAACACACACCCCTATAGCAACTCTAAACCTCTGAAAAACACCCCCAAGGACAGAAGAAGTTGAACCCTAACTCAGAATCCAAGCTTGAGGGAGGCTTGCAAGCAAGGAACTCAACTTTTCTAGCTACCGTCTTCGTGTTTTCTTCAGTTTAAGGAAACTAGCAAGTAAAAACACTTTTACCTTTTATATTTCAGTATCTGTAGGCTTTACTTTTTAGTATTCCTTCATGCTAGGTGTTAGGCCATCATCTCATCATGTAGTCATTTCGTTTATTCACTTTCTCACCTCTCTCTTGCATGCTTTATTTATCTTGTTAGAACAACATGTTCTTAAATCTACTTTAATCATATAATCAGCATGCATGACCCGGTTTGAATCATTATGTAGTTTAGTTTATATTTTGTTTTCATTTTTTAGTTGCTCCTTTTGTGCATATTCATCATATAGTAACTTCAAACCGGGCCTAGGTTGCATCTTGTATGTGTTAGTTGCATTGCAGATCATATTTACTTTATGTATTGCATGAAAGACGCTGAAAGTGGACAATCGGGTAAGTCCTCTCTCCCTCCTTAGCATGTGTTTGCTTCTTGCATCATTTTTTAAATAACCAAACCAAACCAAACCAAGCCAAGCCTTAAGTCCCATCAAATGGGGTCGGCTACATGAATCCTTCTTCTCCAAGCGGCCCTATCAAAGACCATATCATTAGTCAAATTAAGTAGATTCATATCTTTATTTAAAACGCTAGTCAACGTTAATCTACGCCTACGCCTACCCCGTCCCCTAACACTTCCATCTACCGTTACAGCATCGCATCGCTTCACTACTGCCTTTGTTGGTCTCCATTGAATATAACCAAACAATCTCAAACGATTCTTTCTCCACGCGGCCCTATCAAAAACCATTTCATTAATCAAATTAAGTAGATTCATATCTCTATTTAAAACGCTAGTCAACGTTAATCTAGGCCTACCACGTTCCCTCACACTTCCATCTACCATTACAGCATCGCATCTCTTCACTACTACCTCTGTTGGTCTCCGTTGAATATGACCAAACCATCTCAAACGATTCTCTCTCAACTTAGCTTCTATCGGTGCTACTCCTACACATTCCCGAATACACTCATTCCTAATCCTGTCTTGTCTAGTTTTACCACACATCCACCTTAGCACCCTCATCTCAGCCACACTCATCTTATCTACATGTTGTTTCTTGGTTACCCAACACTCCGTCCCATACAACATAGTTGGTCTAATAGTCGTTCTAGAAAACTTACCTTTTAGTCTAGTGGGTATTCGTTTATCGCACAATACCCCAGACGCACTTCTCCACTTACACCATCTCGCCTTAATCCAATGGGCCACATCTATATCAATCTCTCCCGCTGTTGTGATAATCGACCCTAAATAACGAAAATGTTCACTCTTAGGCAGTTCTTGGTTCTCAATCTTCATTTCTCCTCTGCTTTCATTGTTACTGTTACTAAATTTACACTCCATGTATTCTGTCTTAGTTCTGCTTATCCAGAATCCTTTAGATTCAAGAGCTTTTCTTCAAATCTCTAACTTTGTGTTAACTCCTTCTCTAATCTCATCCACTAGCACAATATCGTCTGCAAAAAGCATGCACCATGGCACGTCATTCTGAATATTTATCGTCAACTCGCCCATAACTAAAGCAAAAAGATAAGGACTTAAGGTAGATCCTTGGTGTAACCCTACAGTGATAGGAAATTCATTTGTCTCTCCAGCTGGCGATCTAATAGTGGTCGCCACCCCTTCATACATGTCCCTAATCACGTCAATGTAACCTTTTGTCACCCCTTTCTTCTCTAACACCCACCATATTATATCCCAGAACACTCTGTCATATGCTTTCTCAAGGTCGATAAACACCATATGAATGTCTCTTTTCTTTTCTTTATACTTTTCTATTACTCTCCTCAAAAGAGAGATCGCTTCCATTGTTGACCTACCAGGTATAAATCCAAATTGATTCTCTAACACCTCTGTTATATCTCGCAATCGGCGTTCCATCACCCTCTCCCACACTTTCATTATATGACACATTAGCTTGATTCCTCTATAGTTGTTACAATTCTGGACATCACCTTTATTCTCATAAATTGACACTAAAATACTCTTTCTCCACTCATCTGGCATGTTCCTAGTCAACAAAATTTTGCTAAACAACCTAGTCAACCAACCAACTCCTTTTTTACCCAAGCACTTCCAAGCTTCAATAGGGATATCATCGGGTCCTAAAACCTTATTTGATTTCATCTTCTTAAGTGCAATTTTCACTTCAAAGTTCCTAATCCTTCGATAGAACCTATAGTCTTGGTTTATCGTATTACTGGCTATTTCTTCCCTTATTGTCGTATCTCCATCTTCCTCATTTAATAGTTTCTCAAAATAATTCTTCCATCTTTCCTTAATCTCATCATCATTCGCCAATACCTTAGAATCCTCACCCTTGATGCACTTTACTTGATTAAAATCTCTTGTTTTCCTCTCTCGTATCTTAGCAAGTTTGTATACCCTCTTCTCTCCCTCCTTACTATCTAGTCTAGTGTATAGGTCATCATATACTTTCAACTTGGTCTCTCTCACTACTTTCTTGACCTCATTATTAGCCAATCTATAGCTCTTAAGGTTTTCCTTAGTCGTATCCTTCTGCCACTTTTTAAAGCATTCTTTTTTTGCCTTAACTACCGCTTGACCCTCTTCCCTCCACCACCAAGTTTCCCTAGAGCTGGGTCCCATTCCTTTCGACTCTCCAAGCACTTCCCTTGAGATTCTCCTTATACAATTGGCCATCGAGTTCCACATAGTGTTAGCATCACATTCTAAGTCCCAAGTACCTTCCTTATCCATTCGATTCTTAAATATTTCTAGTTTATCCCCTTTTAGGTCCCACCATCTCGTCCTACGACACCCACCATCCTTCTTAGCTTGGTATTGCCCTCTAAAACATAAATCTAGTACCAAAATCTTATGTTGAGAGACCAGACTCTTTTCAAGAATCACCTTACAATCATTGCATTTTAGGCGGTCCACTTTTCTCACTAAGAAGTAATCTATTTGACTCTTAACTAATCCACTCTTAAAGATTATCAAATGCTTCTCCCTCTTCTTATACAGAGTATTGGCTACCACCAGGTCAGAAGCCAACGCAAAATCTAAGATACTCTCTCCAGCCTCATTTCTGTCACCAAAACTGTATCCATGCACCCTTTCATAACCTAGTTTATCTATGCCCACGTGGCCATTAAAATCTCCACCTATAACCAAGTTCTCTTCTACGGGTATCTCCTGTAAAATCTTATCCATTTGCTCCCAAAAATCCCTCTTAGTCTGATCATCTAACCCTACTTGAGGGACGTATGCGCTAATAATGTTCACTATATTCCCTCCAATAACTAGTTTAACGAGCATAATCTTATCTCCTTTCCTAGTGACCGCCACTACACTTTCCACAAGACCCTTGGCAATTATGATTCCTACCCTATTCCTGCGTCTATCCTTACCACTACAATATAGTTTAAAACCGGTATCCTCAATTTCCCTAGCTTTCTCTCCCGTCCACTTAGTTTCTTGTATGCAAGCTATACTAACTCTCCTCCGAATCATAACATCTACCAATTCCATCGTCTTACCAGTTAAGGTTCCTATGTTCCAAGTGGCTACCCTAAACCTATAGTCTTGGACTAGCTTCTTTACCCGCGCTCGTCCAGAAAAGCGCGGAAACCTTTGCCCATTTTTCACCTCACCCAGGCGTCGATACGGCGCCCCTTGCTCACTTTTCGAAACACCTGGAGGCAGGCGTAACGCGTCACTTAAGGAAAACGACCTAGCATTTAAACGCATCACTTGTATGTTTTGAATGTTTTGTGAATATTGCCTATCTTAGTTTGAGTTCATTGCCATAAAATAAATTAAAATATCCTTTTTAATGGAAAATCTTCACTTTTAAGTATGGCATTGTTCTTTCAATCTAAGATGGGTGACATTCACTTTTTATTCAGATCACATAGTTTTAGGATTAGTTAAAGGTTTGTAGGCTTAAAATGAACTCGTGTTAATGGTTTTTAGGCTTAAAATGAACTTGTGTGAATAATTAACTACTAAAATCATAAATTATAAAGTGAGTAGAGGCCAATCTTCGGATTGGGCAAGAGGGGATGCTATCATTCAATAACCTTCTCCTCTTGTACATAAGCTCCTAAATCCGAATTATTCTTGGCTGTGATGGACTGGTCCTTAACTTAATTTTCATTGTTAAAGGTTTCTTAATTCCCCTTTAAAAATTCAGTGGTGACTCTTTGTTGTCAGTGTGGGATGCATGCCTTAGACTCAAAAAAGGCACGGCACTCACGGCATGCTTTTGAAAATTTAAAGATATGCAAGGGGTATTCTGATCTTAAAATGTAGTTCACTCTCTTCATGAGCATGTGAACCTCACATTCAGTTAACTTAGATGGAAAAGTGGATAGTGCAATTTGGTCCACAAACCACGCGGGGTTTATGTGGTCATTTCCAAACGTTAGGGGGGTAAACCACACATAACCCAAACCACAAGGGGTAAAATAAAGTTTGCCCTATATTATAAGCATGTGGCGAATCTCCTTCCACCAGATGTTTCCAGCTTGGATAATTATATATTTTACAATTCGTAATTTATTAAGCGTCAATCATTTAACATCAGGAAGCATAGAGTTCTAACATAATCAGCCTCTTAGATAGAAACATAAATGAGTAGTAACTATTAATGTTTTAATTGCACAAATTACTTGTAGGCCCTCCAATGTTAACCACGAGCAAGGGTTTCAGCAAAGGAGCCAACTCATCATGCCAGGCACAAGCAGCAACCTGTAAAGCGGTAGAGTCAGCCTGATGAAGAGCTCCCACAGTGAGGACCTGAGGTTCAATTTTTAAAAGCAGTAAGCTTCTTATATGTTTGCAGCACTTGCATGTAAATGACAATTAACATCCACCAAGGGTTTTTAAATGAGTGAACTCACTGAGGCAAATGTTTTATAAACATACCACATGTCTGTCAGGAGGTTCACGAGGAGTTATCCACCTCCGAAGAAACCATGGGATCTGTTCCTGTCCTTTAGGAGTTAATGGGTAATAATCATGGCGAGGAGTAATCAACAGATTGAACTGATTTAGCTGTGATCTGGGATGCTGTATCTAAACATATTGCAAAAGAATTAACTGTATGAACCAATAATTGCATACATAAATAAAATAATCAATGGCAGATAAACAAAATGTAAAAATGATTTTGCCATAATGAGTTTATTGCCAAAATTCTGCAACATTGCCCAGTAACATTACATTCTTTTCCAAAAAGCAAACAGTAGCAAGTAAATATAAAATGGAATTTCTTTGCAATGTTTAAAATGAAAGTTGGTTCAATAACCTAAGCTATAACTCGAGACTAATGCCTCAAATACTCACACGGGAGGTAATAAGCAACAAGCATCTAAAAAACCAATAAGAAAGTTATTTTAGAATCATGTAATCATGACAACACCAACTTATATGTATGCCACATAAATTGATATTTAGCATTAGTTACTTTTACATTTTCATATTTCAGTATACATAATGCCGAGAGTCATACTTTCAAATTTAAGTTCTCCTCTCAAACCTGAACAACAAAGACTTTTTCTGGAGCTAACCGTTTTATGCAACTTGCAACAGAGATAGTATCCCAGCCTGATGCAACCACCAATAATGGACCATCCCTAATTGAATAAAATAGAAAATAAAAGTTGATACGATTACACCAAGCCAAGTATATATGAACCATAATTCTAACCTGTAAGTGCTGAAAAATGAAAACTGAGAAGGTTGTTGATGTAAAAGGACATGTCCATAAGTTTGGGATCAGCTATATAATATAACAAATTCGGAAGAAAATTCAAGAAGGAATGGATTACACAAAATACAAAATAACATACAACTCATCATCTATTAAATTTTCAGAAAAGTGAAGAAATGACAGTTCCACAACACATGAACAAACAATTGCCAATTGTGTAGACAAAGTGTCTTCGAACAAGATAACAGAAACAAAACAACCAACCTCATGGCTGGAGCCTGGACAAATATTTATTGATATACGAACTATCCATACAGTTTACTGATGGGGAGTGTAATAATCCAAGGCATTCAAATAGATGTAAATCTCTAATAACATTTACAATGGACAAATCCCTAATTTGAAAGCAAGCATTGATCCAAAATGTATATGCCTCACATTCATTTGAGAAGAAAGACAAGACAATAGACCTACAAATTGCAAATCCTAATTAAGTATAAACTGCAAAGAGTAATTATTCACAGAGGGCCTCAATCAATTGATATGTCAAAATTATTTAGATTGCCATATAAGGTTACCATTTGCACATAAAGTAGAGAACACCTTTAAAATTAATGGATGCCAGTGCCACCCCCGTGTAAATATCATCTGGATTTACTCCATGAAACCATCTGTACTTGTACAAGTTCAACAAAGATAGAAAGAGATGAAAGCTCAGTAATCATTTAAAAAGGGCCATAGACCTATGAAGCACGGACACGGACATGGATATGGATACGGACACAGACATGGGCACGATGATTTCAAAAAAATGGGGACACAGACGCGGCAGGGGACACGGCAATTCTTTTATTTTTTACTTATATATATTTGCTACGTAGATTAATATTATGTTACCAAACAATCAAAATTAATAAAAACTTACATTAATTTAATATATATATATATACATATAAATCACTACATTATATTTATAAAGGTAAAAAAAAATAAACAGAGATATTAAAAAACTTCTTCTTCTTCTTCTTCTTCTTCTTCTTCTGTTCTCTTTATGTTCTGATTTTGAGATTTAGGGCCAAATTTCTGCACTTTTTATGGGTTGATTCTGGACACACGTGTCCCTGGTGCGTCTTGGCATGTCCCAGGTGTGTCCCTTCTCAAAAAAATAACAAAACTAAAGGCGCACGCCAAATGGTGTGTTCAGTACGTGTCCCCGACATGTCCCGTGTCCAACACCGCTACAGCACCTATTCCGGTGTGTCCGTGCTTCATAGTTATAGATCATTACATTTAGTTTTTGATGTGTAACATTTAGTATTCTCCATATTCAACACAAATAACAATGATTAATCAAAAAGAGCCACCTCGAATTTTAATAATGAGAAGCCCATAGAGCGGCATTCTAACATATAGTGTTATTAAAGGCAATAGGCACACTAAAACACCAAGGTTTTCTAGGACCTAGGAGCAATGACAATAAAAAATAGACACTTAATATAGGCAAATAATCAAGGTTCTATATAAGTAAAATGAAATATTAAAGATTTTATAACATAAATACCAACAAACACCAATATTTTATCGTAGTAGATAAATAATTCAAGATTCACATAAACTTAAACATCTAACTCATAAATCATAAACATTTAAAAATAACGACAAAATCGAAGTGTTGAACAAGATAAGCATCAAGATGTAGAAGGTGAAGGAGATTGAGGGGATGAAAAAGAATAATGACAATTGGTAGTCTAGTCGAAGAGAAAGCTCTATCCAACTAACATCCTCGTATAATTAGGGCTCAAAAGTGTTGGGTTGCAATGTATGTTTAGGGATTTAATCCCTTGTAGCCAAGCGTAAACAAAAAATAATGAGATTAAGTGAAATCAAGGGTTGTAATTATAATAGACTAACATTTTAAAAAAGTGCACAAGTCGTGCGCCTTGAGCCTAAGCTTAAAGTGCATGCTTCATGTGCCTTTATGGGCTTGTTTTACATCGCCTGGCTTGAAATGTTCTGAAGCGCATTGACTGCCCCTTGATGAGCCTTATGCCTAGGCACATGCCTAGGTGCACCTTTAATAACACTTCTAACATATATAATAACAAAAAGTTTACAAATTAAAACAGAAAAACATTAGCTTGTGTAACATTTTTATAAGCAAAAGCTTGTATAAAATAATACTCAAGTCAAACCTTGTGTTATCTTTTCTTCTCAAAAGACTATCAGCTTTTTTAAACCCTATGAAGCGGTTAAGTGAAACATTGACAGCAGTTAGATGGTTGTTTACCTTTTAAATTTTCAAAAAGTAGGCAGACACTAATTAAAGTAATGAATATTCAGTTCAGTTCAGTTCTGTTCTTTTCTTTTCTTTTCTTTTTTTCTCTCCCGATGTTTATGCTCTTAATGTGATATCTTACTGAACCAAACTTGCTATAAACCAAACCAAACCAAACCAAACCAAGCCTTAAGTCCCATCAAATGGGGTCGGCTACATGAATCCTTCTTCTCCACGCGGCCCTATCAAAGGCCATTTCTTCTCCACGCCTTCTTCTCCAACTTTGTGTTAACTCCTTCTCTAGTCTCATCCACTAACACAATATCGTCTGCAAAAAGCATACACCGTGGCACGTCATCCTGAATATTTATCGTCAACTCGTCCATAACTAAAGCAAAAAAATAAGGACTTAAGGTAGATCCTTGGTGTAACCCTACAGTGATAGGAAATTCATTTGTTTCTCCAGCTGGCGATCTAATAGTGGTCACCACCCCTTCATACATGTCCCTAATCACGTCAATGTAGCCTTTTGTCATCTCTTTCTTCTCTAACCAAACTTGCTATAGGGTAATGAAATTGTTCAACAAGGCCCATCATTATGTGAGTGATGTAGTTGGTTTGAGGTTTCAACATCTACAAGAAAAGGTGGACCCAAATAACACTAGGCAAAATCAGATTTTAAGTCCGGTAGTTGCAATTTCCACTAAACAACACTCAAATTCCCTAAAAGCTAGGGAAATATGAGGACAAGAAATTATAAAATCTGAAGTTTTTTTTTCCAAAAATCCTCCTTCAAAAGAAAGATTACAGCCCTAAGATTTGAGGAGATCACTTCATAGTGAAGTACCTAAATAAACAAACTAATAAATAACTATAAACTGGCAGGTGGCTGACATGCTGAATAACAAATAACAAGTGGCATGACTATAACCACTCATTACGACCAAGTGCCAAATGGCATATGTATTGCCCACCTGAATGATATTGGCAATTGAATTCTTCACAGAGGTCACCATTTTGATACAAGAAGACATCCAAACCTACAACTAGTCTACAAGTACCAATTTTGTATACTTCGGAAATTTTTATTTATGATTATAAATAAATTAAGCTAAGCAAATAACATATAAAAAAATAAGGTACATTACACTAACACCTCACACTCACAAGTTTTTGAAATTATAGTATGTCCCTTACTTTTGCCTAACAATGTGCAAAAACACAACCATTGATAACATAGAGAAAGATGACATCATTGTCATAAAACTTTAAAATTATGGTTTTACCTTTATCTAATGAATTTAATTAAAATGACTCAAATAAACTTTATGTACCCATAAATTTTTACTTTTTTAATTTTTTTAAATAACTCCTAATAACATTTTGTCGCATCATCCTCCTATATCAAAAAGAGTGAGGTCCACTACACCAAATCAAAACCCCACTCCCACCATCTTACACCTGGATGGCCACATAGTTCTCTGTTAGTTTGGCATGGAGTACCAAATAGAAAGCAAAAGGAAATCATTGACCATGAATTTAATTATATATGATATGTGGATTTTCCACAAGGTTCGACATGTGGGTTTGATCTATGAGAATGTCGTGGGTTCATGTTGCTGGTAGTGATAGGTGCAGAGGAGGTGTGGCATGGTTGGCCAATGACAAAAGTTGGTTTTATCTTTTGTTTGGCTACAAAGATAAGAGTAACAACAGAAACACAAAGGAAACACTAATTTGTAAAAGGACAAAACAATAAAATTACAACTGTCAGCCAACAAATATTGATGGGGCAATGTTATTTCATAAATCTGGGGGGGTGTCCTTGCAATTGTTAGAAATCTTAGATGGTGTTAATGAAATTCACCCAAAAGAATATTTGATAGTTACACCAATTAACAAGACACATTCCATTTTTTTGGTTGATAGAATGACCTATACCTTACCCTGCAAATTCAGTTCCTCTCTCTAGTTATAGCAAGTAGTTCTCTTTAAAATTCACTTGAATACCTGTATAACTAAATTGCATTTATCTACCTCCATTACTTTTTTTTGGTTGATAGAATAACCTATACCTTACCCTGCGAATTTGGTTCTTCTCTCTGATTATACCAAGTAGTTCTCTTTAAAATTCACTTGAATAACTGTATAACCAAATTGCATTTATCTACCTTTCAAAAATTACAGCTTTGGCCACCAAATCACATTTGTGTTAAAGTCAGCACAAAGATTGTCCAATGATCTAACATAATGCATTTTATATGAGGCCACAATGCCAAATTGAACAATGAGATATCTACCATGCTTTGGAGTTACAGAATTCACCCCAAACATTCAAAGCAAAAAGAATCTACTAAAGTAATATTAATTAATAATTACCTTGAAAGCAAAAGGTATTTTCCTGTAGGTAAAGCAAGAGAAAACCCCAAACTAAGACTTCATTTGGGAAGTGGGTTGGCTTTTTAGCTATTTTAGTCTGGGGTTAAAAAACCTCGTTTGGGTTGGGTTTTTTGGCTTTTTTGACTTTTGTGGAAAAAAAATGAAATAATTATGATTTGGATGTGACATTTTGTGTATTGGCTTTTTAGCATATTTTGTCTTTTTGTGGCTATTTTAGCCTGGTAACCTCATGCCAAACAAGGTAGATGGATGTAAATGTTCTACTACATGGAAAATAACTCTGATTAAATTATAATTAATCTTGCACTTTCACTGTAGAATTATAGCTAACGCACTTGTAGACACTAAGGTCAAGTTTGGGAAGACTAAAAAAGTGCACTTTTTGTCTTTTTGGACTAAAAAATTGAGGTTGAAAATATGGATGTTTGGGTTAGTGGGTCTCACCAAAATTATGGACCTTAACCTATTTTAAATTATGAGTCAAACAGAAAAATGTCAATCCGTTTTGACAATTGGATCAAACAATTATTTCAACCCAAAGGCCTACAATTGTCAAAATTTGATGGAGGAATCATAATTTAAATTCAAATTCAAATAATTTCCATAAAATAAGAGGCAAATTTCTCTTATTAGGGAAAGTAAATCAAAATTAAATAATATTGTAATGGAATTTCCAAAATTAACACTCCTTCAAGCCTATAAATAGAGGCCCCCATTAGGAAGAAGGGACCTTTTGGCTAAGATCTGGCAATATCTAAAGCATTCCCAAGACTGCCAAAATCTCTATTCAAAAAATAATCTCTAAAGTTCTTCAAAACTCAAGTGAAGGATTATCAAGCACTCCAAACTTGCACCAATCCTTTCAAGTTACAAATTTGCTCTATGTGTCCTGACCCATAATTTAAAGCTACAAATTTGATCTCTAATCAAAGAGATCGTTTCGAAGTTTGTTTGAGATCAAGCAATTCAAGCCTGAGATCAAGCCTCTTTTCTTTAAGTTTCTCTATTGGAAGACCTACAGAAATTCATCAACTCATTCAGTTCAACAGGAAGCTTCCATAGCCGTTGGATTACAACTCATCCCAAAGATTGAATCAAAGGGCTTGTTCTTTTGTAATAGAACAGATCAGAGAGAATTGTACCTGCTTTATTATATTTATAAAATTGAATATTTGTGCTACTTTTTTCTCCTCTTTATTGCAAGACTCGAAATTTGTGTGTACAGCGCTTCAACTATATTTTCTTTCATCAAACATTTTTTGTTTCAAGAAGTACAAGTAAAATGCCATCGCAAGCTCAACTCACTAAAAGGTGGTTTAGAAAATCACATCAAAACATGAATAAGAAGAACAATTACATACTTCTTAAATGTTTCATGAGCCATTGTTGCAATTTGCTTTGCATCAGCTTCTAAAACATGTGATAGACCAGCACTACCTTCATTTAAAGAAAGAAGAAACATCAGTATCTCCTCTTGTGTATATATATTTCCATTTAGTTCTTCATATAGGCAACATGTAAGATCAATACACCATATAATGATCTAACATAATGCATTTTATATGAGGCCACAATGCCAAATTGAACAATGAGATATCTACCACACTCTTTATTATTAAAATACTGCAGATACATAATTTAAGACTGAATTTGCTACTTGCACTACCATTTTTTTCAGCGGGAAGAGACATCACTTTATTTGCTTTGATAGTTTGGAATTGTGAATCACCACAAATTCTCTTTATGGCATAGTCTAACTTTTTGTGAACAGAAACAGGCAACCACTGAAGCCACTTATTGATTCCTCCTCTTGGCCTAGTTACGCGCTGTTCAACAATGAATATGAACTATATAAATACTCAGGTGCAATATAACCCAAGATTTAGTGATATAATCATCAAAAATCCAAATACATGAAATATATAAATAAAAATATATATATATATATATAAATCCAGATGCAATATATACCATTTATACTGTTTGTCAAATTTTGAACAATCCAACTCCAAAGCTTGATGAAACCAGGTCCCATAAACAAAGCATTTATAAGTACTACAGTTTATAATTACTCTTCTGCAATCATCAAAGCAATCACTGAAAGGAAAATTTCAGGACATGGTTGAGATTTCCCCCACCACCTATTTCCAACCTAGCAAGCATCCTAAGTTGCAAAATGGAGAGAAATAGGCCTTTACGAAGATTTTCAAATGGATGGGGATCAATTTAAAAGTAACTCTCCTCCATTTAGGATAAATCAAGATAACAAACATTCTCTAAGATTTCTCTTAGATTCGAAGTTTCAAACCCATAGCCGATGATAGAACTAACATATATATTTTTCCAACACACAAGTCCATATCCTTATTTTTCTATGAATCTCTTATTCTGATCTTCCTCTCCAAGTTCGTATTCTCCACCATAGAATTTTTTCTTTTTTTTTTTTAATTGACACCGAGGTGTCCGGATCAAAGGTCGACTAATCCCTAGGGGTGCATAAGCCCTCGGTAAGGAGTTTTCTACAAGTGCACCACGATTAATTCAAGGGTTTTTCCCCAGTCCAATGGCGCCAAGGAATTGTTAGCATCTAAAAGGTTTCGATTAACTTTGGAGTGCGCACACCCCCAAGATCTTGCCACTAGGCCAACCCCTTGGGTTGGGTTTCTCCACCATGGAAATATTCTAAATAAATAAGCCCTTAAGATCAATTCTCACTTCAACATAATCTTATGTGAAGAGTTTTTGGGAAAGGAGTTAACCTAGAAAGTATAATCCTATCAACTTGGATTAGTTGCACATTATGGTTGATCTCCCTAAGTCCGAATGTTCTACTAGTTACTGTAAAGCGAAGTCTCACATCGGCTCGAGTACTAAAGTAATATTAAGCATATAAGCGTGAGGACACCCTCACCCCTTGAGCTAGCTTTTGGTGCGAAGCGAAATCCCACATCGCTTGAGTAATAAAGTAATATTAAGCATATAAACATGAGGGCATCCTCACCTCTTGAGCTAACTTTTGGTGTGAAGCGAAGTCTCACATCGCCTAAGAGCTAAAGTAATATTAAGCATGTAATCGTGAGCGCACCCTCACCTTAATAACTAGCTTTTGGGGTGAGGTTTTGTGAAACCCCGTATTTTTTAGGTATTAATATTTTAATGAGAGATATTGGTGATTGTTTGGTAATAAAATTTTTAGATGAGAACCTAACTTATTTTCTCTATTTGTTTTATCTCTTTTTACCTTCATTTCATTATTATCATTATTCATGTCTTTTATTTATTTATTTTAGTTTCCTTTCTCTCCAAGTTACTTTGTCTCCAAGGAAGTTCCTTTTCTTTTGTCCCAAGTATCCTTGCCTATAAATTGAGCTCACCTCTCAACTTATTTCTATGGTTCTTCCCATATCTCTCTCCATTTGTTATATAGATTTAGAGTTTAGATTAAGAATGTTTAAAGTGAGAGTAAGCATTTTCATAACAGTGGAGAGTTGTAGATTTTGTGAAACCTTACATACCTTATGCCTTAGACTTTGGAGATCTATGGAGAAATATCGAGATTTAAGTGTTGGCGACGGAGGAGATTGATTTAAGGTAATTCGGGTGGGTATACAATATGATTCCTTTAAATCTCTTTGCAAAGAGTTTATTTTAATTACTTCCAATTTGTACTCCTCTTGATTATCATAGTCATATGTTAAATTCTGTGGAATCATTCTTGTTGATACATTTGAGTACTCTGGTCATTTGATAAATTCTATGAAGTTGATCTATGTAATTAGTGCTAATTTGTCTGGCTAAATGACGTGAAAATACTCTGTACATGAATCGAGTGGACCCTGCCAATAGATTGGATCAATAGCCCGGATAAGCGGCTGTACTTGGGTGAGGTGGGTGAGGCCGATCACTGGTCATGTACCGAGTAGAATCGGGTATTTAGTTCTGGATAAATTATCATATGTCGAGTTGAATTGTTTGTGCAATTTGGTAAATTGCTTGATTATAGAATCTAATCGGTTGTGTAATTGTTGGATCCCTATTGATTTATTCTCTATCTAAGCCTTGTTATTCCTGTTGTATTGTATACTTCCCGAATTAATTTATTTTTCAGGTATAGAGCAAATTTAGTGGCGATTGGAGTTGAAGCATCTAAAGAGATTATTTGAGTTTGAGATTTTTTTTAATCCACAACTATATATTATTTTTAGAGATTTGTATAATTTATATTTTGGAGACATTTGAGTTAATTATTTATGGAGACGATTTGTATATTTGAGATCGTGAGTCATCTGCAATTATAAATTTGATGTTGATTTGATTAATTAACGGCCTAGAAGTTGGGGCGTTACAGTTTTACCCAAGACCATATTATATCAAAGCCAAAGTACTCAAGGATGGGTAGAGTTACTAAAGTAATATTAAGCATATAAGCGTGAGGGCACCCTCACCTTAATAGCTAGCTTTTGGGGTGAGTTCTACCCAAGATCGTGTAACAGTTACTAGTAATCCACACGCCCATCTACTTTTAACCTATCATTTAGAAGGTAGTCAAGTCACTTGAAGACTAAAAAGCACAAATACAGACATGTGACACAATACGGACACGCTAACATGCCAATTTTCAAAACATGCAAGACACAACACATGGGAGACACGCACAAAATATATAATTTTATATATTTATTATATATCATATATATGAAAATATCATTCTAAGACAAGAAATAAATGCAATATAACATTATTTTTTTATAAATTGACATTATTTTTCTTTTATAATTATATTCTAAGTTACTTTGTTCAAACCAAACCGAGTCTTAAGTCCCATTAAATAGGATCGGCTACATGAATCCTTCTTCTCCACTTTACTCCATCAACGGCCATTTGGTTAGTCAAATTAAAGAGATTCATATCTCTATTCACTACACTCATCCGCGTCAATCTAGATTTGCCCCTTCCCCTAACACTTCCACCTACCATTACTGTATCACATCTCTTCACCACTGCCTCTGTTAGTTATATGACCAAACCATCTCAATCTATTCTCTCTCAACTTATCTTCTATCGGTGTTACTCCTACCTATTCACAAATATACTCATTCCTAATTCTGTCTTTTCTAGTCTTGCCACACATTCACCTTAGCATCCTCATCTCAGCAACATTCATCTTATCTACATGTTGTTCAAACTTATAATTAATTTCGCATGTGTCTCATCAATGGGCACGTGTGTTTAAGCAATGGGCATGACTATCCTCCAAGTGTCCGAGTCTAAATTCTTTTTTTTAAAAATAAGACACGTTTGGATGAGTGTCAGACACGTGTCGGAAAAGTGTCTGACGAGTGTCAATGTCCGACATCGACACACCACCTTTTTTAAAGTTTCTGTGCTTCTTAGCTTGAAGAAGATTTACAACAACTTAGGATGTAAGTTCACTAATATTTGTTGTGTCAACAACACTCCAAGGGAGGCGTTGGTTTCATGAGATTGAGGCATGGAATTGGACTACATGTCTAAGAGATTTACTAGTCTATTGTTTGGTTAGAAAAGTAAGGTCAGACTAATAGTCAAATACACATTATTCCACCAAAATAGTCCAGACACTATTTATCTCATGACTAACCGTCATTGCATTGCAATCCCCCTTGTCTAGTTCATCCAAACAAACACCTCCCAAGTTTATCATTCATATCCATTTTAAGAAGCTAGATCATGCTAGCTAGTCGGAACCTAGTTTAAACAAATTCTCCTTTGGTCAAGGCAATAGAAGAGAGGGGAGGTCCAAACAAACACCCCCCAAGTTTATCATTTATATCCATTTTAAGAAGCTAGATTATGCTAGCTAGTCGGAACCTAGTTTAAACAAATTCTCCTTTGGTCAAGGCAATAGAAGAGAGGGGGGGGTGTTTAATGGGGGAAATGTGGTTAATACAGCTCAAAAGCTGCTAAACGATTGTGCATCATTAATTCAGCACTTGATATCACTCCAACACTAGAAAAAAGGGAAAGTCATCTAAGCCTTTCAGGAATTCATATTTAATATCATTCATTTTCTCCTCTATATCATCCATGTGGCCAGGCCTCATTCTGAATTAGGTTGTGGGCCGCTTTCTTTAGGCTGTGTTTTACATGAAACACTATTGACAGCTGCAGGATTAAGAAGTTGGAGATTTAGGTAGTGTTGGTTTAATTTTCAAAACTCAATTATGTTTTCAAATCATGATTTGAATCAAAATTTATAACCAAATAAAATTTTAAAATACAATTCAAATTTACTTTAAAAACTCCTTTCTTCACATTATTTTTTATTATTATTAATCAATCAATCAATCACTTTTTTCCTCTCATCTCTCCTCTCTTATTCTCTCACATTCTATACATCAATCAATAAAAAATAAAAAATAAAAATCATCCCAATACTGTTTTCTTTTGATCAAAACTCATAATCAAACCAATTTTCTCTTTTCAAATCATACTTCAGAAACTCAAAACTCAACACAACTCCACGCTCAAATCATAATTCTAAAACTAAACCAAACGGACCCTAGAATTTCATCGTAGAGATGGTACACATAATAAAAGTGACTAATCAAATCATCAATTAGCAATCAAAGGTTTAGAACAAAAAGAAGTTGTATTGTATGGTTTCCAACAAAATGTGTAAGAAAAAATTTCATGGATTGGCGAAACAGAGCTTAATTGAGAACAAAACAAGCTTAAGAAAAGACTAACGTAAATGGTTTGGCGGTGAGAGAGACCCAGAGCTCGAACCAAACCAGTGCACTGATTCTCAGCTCCGGCGACGCCGTTTCCGATGACAACAGCTCGTCGGATGGCGGTGGAGAAGCCAACTCGGAAGATGTCCCTCAATCCCCAAGAATCGGTCGGCGGTTCGCGAAACCTGATTGCTCGCATAATGCATCACTCAACTCTCTCTCTCTCTCTCTCTCTTCTTTCTAGTTTAGTACTTTGAGAACTCACAGACTACAGAGGGGTTTCGGCGTCTGGGCTTTGCACGAAAAATTATACCCTGCCATTAGAGGAAATAGCACAACAAAAAATAGAGGGGCTGAGATTGTTTTCTTCATACTTCTGTTGACCGTACTCGCTAACGTGTGTTTGGTAACGATTATTTCGGTTTATATTTATAAAAATTTTATATATTGATTTTTATTTAGTTTTAGAAAAATATAAATTATAAATGCGTTTGGTAATTGATAAAATATTTAAAAAAATTTAAAAATATAAAAAAGATTGAGAAATGACAAGTGGTGACAAGTAGCGGCAGAAGATGGTAGTGGAAAGTGGTGACGATTGGTGGTGGGTTGCGGGTGGCGGGTGGCGGGTAGATGGCAGGTGGGTGGTGGTGGCGAGTGGGTGGCAGGTGGGTGGTGGTGGCTGGCAGGTGGGTGTTGGTGGCGAGTGGGGGTGGCAGGTGGTGGGGGTGGCAGGTGGGTGGGGGGTTGTGGTGGCGAAAGACGGTGGTGGAAAATAGTGACGGGTGGTGGCTAGTGTTGGGTGATAAAAAAAAACTCAAAACTCAAAACGTAAACTCATTTTTTGTGTTTTTATTTTTTGGTCAAATTTATAAACTGAGACCATTGATTTATAAATCAAAAATTTTACCAAACAAGTTTTTATTTGAGTTTTTAAAATTTTTGTAAATATAAACAGAAAACTGAAAACATAAGTGTATTTAAAAATATAAAAAAGAGTGAGAAATGACAAGTGGTGGCAAGTGGCGGCGGAAGACGATGGTGGAAAGTGTAGGTGGTAGGTGGTTGGTGGGTGGTGGTGGTGGGTGGCTGGTGGTGGATGGTGGTGATAGATGGGTGCTGAGTGGTGGTAGCGGGTAGGTGGCGGGCGGTGGATGGTAGTGGCGGGTAGATGGCAGGTGGGTGGTGGTGGCGAGTGGTGACGGGTGGTGGGTAGTGAGTGGTGGTGGCAGGTGGTGGTGGGGGATGGATGGTGGGTGGTGGTGGCGGAAGACGGTGGTGGAAAATGGTGACGGGTGGTGGCTAGTGTTTGGTGGTAAAAAAAAAAAAAAAAACTCAAAACTCAAAACGGAAACAAATTTTTTGAGTTTACATTTTTTGGCCAAATTTATAAACTAAGACTACTGATTTATAAATAAAAAATTTACCAAACAAGTTTTTATTTGAGTTTTTTAAATTATTATAAATATAAACAGAAAACTGAAAACGTAAGTATTACCAAACGGCACCGTTATGTTTGGCTTGGCTTGGCATGGCTTGGCGTTATTTTAGTTAAAAAAAAATAAAATAAGTTTTTTTAGTTTAATAAGGTAAAATATCACGTTTAAATCATAATTTTTTTTTATTTTTTTTATAAAAGTCAAAAATCTATCCCAAACAAGGTTTTTTAACCCCAGGCTAAAATAACCAAAAAGTCAAAAAGCTAAAAAATCAATCCATATCCCAAATGAATGCTAATTGCAAGAAATTTTACAATGAGATTTACTCACTTAGATCACAGCCGACCTAGAGGTAGGCGACCAAAACCCTCAAATTTTTATTTTAAAATTAGGGTTTTTAAACAATATTTTAATGTTGGGTAATTTTATTTACACATTGAATACTCTCAGTACATATCATCCTTAAGGGGAAATTTTATTTCTACACACCTATTTATCTCTGTGCACACACTCAATGATTTATTTTTTTTTATTACAGTTTTGTCCTAAAATAAAATTACTAAAGTGTCATTATCTTCTCCATCAAAACCCTAATTTCTTAACCCTAGCCCTAACTACCACCGCTATTGTCGCCGCCACCGCCGCCGCCATTAACTCCACTACAATTTCTTTGCTGCAAAACCGCCATCCTCTCTCTCTCTCTCTCTCTCTCTCTCTCTGGTTTGCATAGTTATGACACAAAACATGCTTGTGACTGGTGATGCTTGGTATATTGGAACCCATACAGTGCTTCAGTTGCTTTTGGATGGAAATGCATGAACAGAGACTAAGCAACAAATGTTAATCTATTATTTTATTTCTCTTCAAACTAATTGTTTTTGAGCCATTATTTTGTTTAGCTCTTTAAATTAATTGTTTTAATGCACGGTTTAAAACCAAACTGAACCAAATTTAATAGGTTGGGATTCGTTTAGTTTTCTCATCTTATGGTTTGATTATAAAATCCAACTTTTTGAGAACTAAGTCAAACTATTTAGTTCTAGGTTGGACACCAATGCAAACCACATACTAGAACTTATGCAATGATGAAAAGAATGCAGTAAAAAGTACTCAAGAATGGCATTCAGCCTCTCCCACAAGATAATATTATTTTTATTAGCAGAATTGGATGGACTTGAACATCGAATTCTGATGAATATATCACAAACAAAATTTACTAACTTATGTAAATCCATAATTAAACCATAGCTCTAACCAACATGTCATTTGCAGTGCCTCAATGTAACAACTTTTTTTTTTAATGAATTAAAATTCTTTTCAAGACCATAGCAAGGGAGAATAAACAATACTAACAAATGTAATAGTGTAACCCCACTTGTATGGCCCAAATCTTACTTTCCATAAGGTTCGTATATATATATATATATGTATACTATGTGTTTGTATATATGTCTGTGTGAGGTTTTGATGTTAAAAGTTTGGATTTTTTTTTAGTCTAGAGAATGACTAGCGGAGGGGCAGGGGAAATGGAAGAAGAGGCGACAACGATAGAAGGGGGTTGAAAAGGGGTAACTTAGAGCCACCGCCATCGTCGATGCATGGTCATGGACGACAATAGGAGACGGGTGACAATGGATGTTGGTTTAGGTTTTAATGTTAAAGAGAGGGATGTTTTTGGCAAAAAGGGTTGTACATTGAGTAAAATTACAAAATTCAAAATTAGTTGGTGTGTATATTGAGAGGAGATGTAGAGTGAGATATTTTGGTGTGTGAAAATAGAATCACCCATCCTTAAGTGTTTTTTATTACACTTTTAACCCGTACTAAAATTACCTATTTAGACAAATTTCTAGACCCTAATCTCTCAATTCACACCATCATCATCATCACCACAAACCACTCCACCAGCCTCTGCTATCTCCTGCTGCTGTCCTAAACCACCACCATCACAACGTCCTCTCCGACTACCATCACAGTCTGGTCTCTACCATTGTCTACCACTATTACTAGCAATCACCACCTCCACCACCAATAGAGAAAGTGAGATTTGAAAACCCAAGTCTAAAAAATAAGAATAATGAGTTAGGCTATAATAGTTATGGTATCTATGGAGGTTGATTCCACCATCTTATTACCTCTGTCTGCTGTCCCGAGCTACCACGACAACGACTTTCCTCTTTAACCACCATCACAGCCCCTCACCGCCATCATAACCCATACCATGCAACGAGAGAGAGAGAGAGATGGGTTGATGGACGAGATGAGGAGGACGACGGTGATAGGAAAAGAAGGAGAATGAAGGGGAAGACAGCGAGGCAGCTGGGACAAGGGTGACAGCAACTATAGATAGGGTTTGGGAACATCGAGGAAAATGAAGGCATTTTGGGGGTTTTCAAAAATTGATGGTGTTAAATGAGAAAAAAAACAAATAATTGAAAAAATGTGTGGTGTGAACTAAGAGATTGGTGTGTTATTCACCCCAAAAAAAGAGATTGGTGTGTACTAAGAGTTTGTGTGGTGTGCATTTAGAATCACCCTTTAATATTTAGGTATTGTTTGCTTCATATTTAATAGAATTATCATTTTATTTATCATGTCTATTATCATTCTATTTACACCCAAAAAATTATTAATTACGTTCAATTTCTTAGTATTCTCTATTAAATTATTTAAGTTTATAATTTACTCTCAACACAGTCATTTTTTTTTTTTACAACTTAGTCTTTAAGATAGATAAAATCAAGAATATTTTTCTCCAACGGAAAAATTGTTCCTACCGATCAAATCAAAAAGAAGATCGTCGTTTGAAAACAAATTCAACAACAAGAAATTCACAAAAGTTCAAACAATGAGAAATTGGAGGAGGAAAAACAAAGCTCGAACTCAAAGTCGTTTGGGTGATTCAAGCGAAGTAGTAGTTTGAATTGCGATGGCTTTGGTTACGTACAAAGCTTATGTCCTTTGCCTCTTCTTTCGCAAAGCAATTTGATTGGTTTGAGTGTGAAGAGATTGTTGTTGCAGAAACAAAATTCACAAAAAATTCTGTGTTGGAGCATCGAAACTATCGCAATCTTCATCTTCATCTTCTTCAAGTGGTTATCAGAGGCATCCATTAAAGAAGCATTATGGAGCTTATGGCAATGGTGTTCGAATCAATCCAGTGTTAAATGTTCCTTCTGGTAATCTTTTTGGTTTTGGTTCAAAGTTCTTCAATGGTAAGGACAAGAACAAGAAAAAATGATGATTAAACACTAAGAAATCAATTTAAATCAAGTTTTGGTGGGGTGGATTGGAATTTTGAGGAGAGAAAGAATATAAAGAGAAAATAATTAAAACTTGGGAAAGAAGATGAAGAGTTTTGAATATAAAGAATACGTATAAGTGATTAAGTTGTACTATGAATATATATATATATATATATTATTTTAGGATTTAATGTGTATTGCGGCATAATAAGAACGAAAATTTTAAAATTTTAATTAGACGTACTGAGTTATTATTTAGGTGCAAATAGAATCACCCCTATTATCATGTTTAGTTCACTAAAAAAAAGGGGGGGGGGGGGTAGCCACACTTTATTTTGGAAATTATATTTGTCATTGACAAAAATATGATAGAAACGTGATCTGATCAAGTGGTTATCGATATCTAATTGACGTGATTTTCTACAAGGATGATATACTTGACGATCTCTACACATTGAACAGTTTAGATCATCGCAATGGGCCCAGATTAGGGCCCACCACAGCCCAACAAAATCGTCTAGTCCGATGATGAACTGGAGAGGAACCGTATCCCTAAAAAAATAATAAAAAATATATTACAAATTAAATCATTATTCACTATTGTAAGTTAATGGTTATTCATCAAAGA